GCCGGAGCTGGTCGTAACCCGAAAAGTTCGTTAGTAGAGGCGTTCATATCCCGAGGTACCACTGTATAATAAAAGCAGGAATATGTGAAATTATCATACGTTAAGAACTTAGAGTGGATGCCTTCTGTGAATGAAAGGGACCCTTACATGTACAGAAGGGTTTTTTTCCATTCTTAGGAGAGCATGGAAACCATCTCTCACATGGTTGCAGAGCACCTCCGAATCCTCTGGAGCAGATTTTCATAAGATGAAAGGCTGCAGGAGAAGGAGGCAGATGAGAGGCAGCAAATCATTCCAAGAGCAGATTTCCATGACTGGAATTCTCAGTCCAACCCAAATACAGTATGTGCCTCCAAAATTCAAACGGATGTAGATCTGTTACGTTTCCATTTTTCAAGAGAGCTCCAGTTGACTTATTTATGAATATTTCACCCATGTTATTTGCAGCTGTTTGTGCCTTGAAGTTCAGTTTATCAGTCTTATGCTACATATAGAGTATCAAGTCAAGGATGCCTGTGTACAGTATGTGCGGTTTTTATGTCATTTCATTAGGAAAGTTGTTCAAGATTGTAATAATTAGAAGCCTAATGTTACATTTCAAAATTCATTTTCCAGGTTGCTGAATTAGCCAGTGATCAGATTTATTGCTGTGGAATGACAGCACTGAAATTGAATTTTTGGAAATAAAACTATAAGAAAAAAATCTATGAAGGTGAACACACATATCTGCCTCTGATCACATTAATTCGCACAGAGACAGAAAATGTGTAAACTTCAGGATGCTGAACTGTGACTCTCATTATATCTCACTAATAATCATACTGGCCAGGGCCAATGGAAAGTGGACGTCATCAACATTTGGAGGGGGATTGTAATTAGTGTAACCAGATTTGGGCTGCAAAACTCTAGATAACCACTTGATGTCACTAAGTGCTTCTCACTGAGTGAGAACCAGTTTGGTGTAGTGCTTAAGGCGTCAGGGTAGGAACCAAGAGATCAGGAGTTCTAGGCCCGCTTTAGGCACAAAGCCAGCTGGGTGACCTTGGGCCAGTTATTCTCTCTCAGCCCTAGGAAGCAGGCAATGGCAAACCACTTCTGAAATCTTGCCAAGAAA